TACTATAATCATGATTAAACTATATTAAATAAAAGTATTTTATAATAAATTTTGAATAATAAATTAAAAACTTATTTTTATTTATTTTTCTTATTAAAATTAGATATATTAAATACTTATATAAAAATAAAACTAAAAAAATGCATTTATAAATAATTTAAAAAGACATTATTTTATTTTTATACATCATATATATAATATATTTATTCATAAATTAAATTATAATATAAAAAATTATATTTGACCACATATGCTTATAGGAGTTTATGTAATGATATATTTGTATTAGTTAATATGTATATGAATACACAATTCACTAATTTATTATATAATATACAAGAGTGTAAGAATACGAAAATATATTTATTAAAATATAGTATATTTTTTTAAATAAAATAATTTTATTATTATCATAAATATAAAAATAACATTAATATAAATATTATTTTTCTGTAAAATAGTGATAAATGACAATGTCATTCTATTTAGGTCTATTTACTTATGTATACCAAACATTAATGGAAAAACTTGTTTAATTCCTTTTCTACATTCATTCTATTATTCAACTCATTCTTATCAAATTTCATTCCATTGTTGTTTAGACTCTTGTCAAGAAACACTTTCTTCATGTAAATTGCCCCCATAGAATTTGAGAAGAATATGAAAGACCATTTTTGTTTCCTCCATTCGGATGTTTGATGAACACGATGATTTCCAACGGATTCATGGCTTAGGAAAACATTCGTTGCCCCCATGTACATGTTCTTCACAGAGGTCTTTATGCATCTTCAAAAATCTTCGAACTTGATTTGGAGAGAAGAGATGAGAGGTAGAGAAAGTCCCACTGGGCGTGCCAAAAATTTGTAACAACAAATTTCGTGTATTGAATTTATAAACACGAAAAATATTCCACAAATGAATTTCTTGAATCAAATAAATATAGTGGATTACAATCTCTATTATTCCTCTGATTCTTCTCACGAACAATTTTAAGTCTTGGAGCAAAATCTTCGGCATGATCTTCTCCTTGACTTGATTGGACTTGAATTAACGTTAGTCCGAGGACCAAAGCCTTGATTTCGGATCAAACGCGCGTCGTTATATCCCAAAGAACGCGAAGAACAAGAATCCTTGGTTTTCGCTGCAAAGTAGATCTTGAATCTTCTTTGTTCGCCTCTATTTTTAAAGGTCGACCGCAAGTGTACGGCTTCGCTCGTAATATGTGGCAAGCAAGGTTCGTATGGTATCTCAAGAGACCAAATAATTATTGTACCAATTACAAGATTATGATAGTGTCAATTTTATTTAGATGACCGAATATGATATAGATTAACTTAACTAAGAAAATATAATCAAAGGAAAATAAAGCAATAATAAAGAACTAGCTAGAAAAACATGTAAGAAATAATATGAGAATGATAGATTCTAAGACTGTGGTTTCAATTAACAGTTGGGTTCCTTCAGAAATATCATAACTAAATGTTTCTTTTATCTACCCTATAAGACGATCACAAATTTAGTTTATCGTTCCTCTCGAGATCGATAAAACCGTAGATTAAATAACATATATTAGAATCTCCACTCAACACATGTAATTCAACTCCAAATAGATTAAAAGATCTAATATCCTCACAACGACCCATTAATCTCTTGATTCAAGCAGATAAATTGTGTCAAATATTAAAGACCTAATATTGAACTCATCTCTCGAATTATGAACAATATTGTCAAACACGTAAAAACATTGGTCAAGTGCTAAACATGAAATAAGAGCAAAAGAAAAGAAGAAATAAAAAGCGTCGATCTTTCAATCTTCTTGATCCCCATGTAGTTGATCTTCTTTTGTTTCTCAATTGCTTCTCTTGTGTGTTCAGGGCTCATCTCTTGTCTCTCACGTTCCCCTCTCTCAAAATAGAGTAAATATGCATTTTATAATGTCCAAAACCCTTCTTCTTTTCAAAATAGGCAAGAAATAAAAATCAATCTGTGCGCGCGACACGACCACTTTGCCCGTGTCACCGTCCGTGTCGCAGCCCGTGTCAGGTCCCTGGGCTTTGAAATCTCTCTGTTGACGTGGCACGGCCTCTGACACGGGCATGGTTCCCGTGTCACAAATCTGCACTCTTATATTTGCTCGTTTCACTCGTTTCTTCTATTTTTTTCATTCGTACATCAATATTTCATCATCCCGGAGTTCCTAGGTACCCACCATGCGCATCCAATAGCTAAAAGCTCTATAAATATGTGAAATATCTACAAAACAAGCACGTATAATACATTTCCAACAAGATATAAAATTAAAGAACAATAATGTAATTTATACACCAATAATGCAATGAATAAGCTCTAGATACTATACAAATATGGTGTAATATTACACATGAACATTTTTCACTCCGGTTTTGAGTTTACTAACGTTATTCGGAGGCTTTGCAGCTTGTTTCCGGATTGAACGTCAGTCTTGAGGTTGAATGCGCTTGAATCTTACTCGAATCTTCAAGAACGTCCTTGAATCTCGTCGAGAGAATTCTTTAGAGATCTTGGACTCGAATATGAATTATGATATGTTCGGTTTATGAGGTGTGATTTTTTTTTTTTTTAGGAGAGCCCTATTTATAGGTGTAGGGGAGAGAGTCTTGGAGAAGAAGACATCATTTTGATTGATCTTTTATGATTTTATATAATATCTTTCTTTATCTTAAGATTTGATATAATCTCTCTCCTTATCCTAAGATATGACTTGGTGGGCAAGAAAATTTTATTTTATTAATTAAATATCTTATTTATTTTGGATTTATGTCCAAAAATAAATATAAATATTAATTAATAAAATATTAAAATTTTGATGTCTACAGTTGGATCATCCACTTTCCATCTCTTCATCAGCGTCATTTTTCAATCGAGACACTAAACCTGAGCCTATTAGTGGTAGGCTGTAAATGAATTAACTCATTTTCCCGATAACACATTTATAGTAATATAAATTTAATTTTATATATATATATATATATGTATTTATTTATTTAAAAAATAAAAATTTTATTTATTCTTGTTCCTCGTATAAAATATAATTATTATTTTATTATAAAATTTATTGTAATATAATGTCATTATTATTATTATTTAAAAGTTATAGATATAGTCTTCTTCTTCCTTTTATTTTATGTAATGAAAATATATGATGTACGTTAATATTATTTATTAATGTAACTAATTTAAATTATTTACATAAATAAAATAAAACATTGTATACAAATATTTTACAAAATATACACAAATAGTTTTTTAGAATTTAATTTTTTATAATAATTAAACATCTTTGATTTAGTAATTGCTAAAACTAAATCCCTTCTACAATCAAGAGATTTTTCTAATTTGCACCATAGGGTTTTATAATTTATTCAGCATAATATGCAATGAAAATATATTTTGAAAGAATTTCTCTATGGAAAGAAATCAAAATAAAAAAATGATAAAAACTAATCATAGTTAACAATAATATACAAATACATCACATGTTAAAATTCTAAAGAATAATTAATATATCTCAATTTCATGATATGGCCATTAGTAAAATTTATTTAATGTATCTTGTCATTATCTCCTAAATGGTAAATTATATTAGTTTGAAGAATAATTTAATTTTCTTTTTATATATATAATGAAATAAAAATAAAGAAAAAAATTACTTAACATGTTACAATTTTCTATAAATATTTATATCAATATTTGTGAAAAAAATAATGTGCTTATAATTTAAAATATATTTTCATGTCTATCTTGACAATAAAATAATCAATAAGAATCACGGAAAATTAAATTTATAGTTTATTATAATGAATATCAATAAAATTATTGCAGATGTTAATATTATTAAAGGAAATGATCTTTTTTATCATATCTAATTTGGTTTGATTTGGAATTGTGTATATGAAAGCAATTAATGTATATATTTTAAAAGTTTTCAAAGAAGATATGCATTTAATGTTCCAATTTTTACTACTATTTTTAATAAATGATTATTCTCTTTTTATAGATATATATTATATAGATATAGATATAGAGTGTATTTTAATTATCTTATTATTACAAAAGTTTTCAAAAATTGTAATAAACATGAATAGCCATGTTTATATACCCTTAAAATGGAACAATAGAATAACATTTGAGAATAATAAACATACACATGCATTGGGCTTTGGACCTGGATCATGAGGCCAACTCAAAGCTGTCAGCCGACTTTGTCCTATTATCCATGAAAAACTGGAGTAGAGTATATAATTTAAATAAATAAATAAATAAATAAAACAAGAATAAGAAAAAAACTAATAGTGTCTAAGGAAAAATTGTACGCTTAACATCTTAATGACGAATCTCATTACCTTTTAAGTTCTTACTAGCATTATTATTTGAAACTCAAAATTTCTTGTAAGTTGAACTTAGACATTTTTATATATATTCATGTACTCTATTTAAATATCATATTTTCATGTTATCTATTTTATTTAATTATAAATATCATAATAAGTCAAAATTTAATTACATTTTTATTTTATATTTTTTTGTATCATGTTATGTCGTACGCACGTAGCTTATTGGACACGTAACTTATTTCATTCGATGCTCCATAAATTATTAAATTTTAAACTGACAAATTTTTGTTGATATTTGAATTATGCAGATTTTGTTTTTAATTTTTCTTATGAGTCTTAGAATAATTTATATGTGATCATATATAAGATTTAATTATTTTATGTTTATAGAATTGAATAGTTAACTCTTAATTGTAAATAAATAATAAAATTTATAATTTTTATAATAATATACTAATGTGCCTATGTTCTTAAAATTTTAAAATACATAATTTCTCCTTCATGTATTGTATTTGTATCCTAGATACTTTTCTTTTGTGAGCTAATATAATAGTTGATTGATAGTGAATTAATCTCAGCCGTTGATATCCCTTCACTGCCAGATTTGTAACATCCCTAAAAATATCAGTCAAACAAGATATGATGATGAAACGAGCTCCCATTTTCAGCTGTTCAAAACACAAGCGAAATAAATACAAATCAAAAAGGAGAAAAAAAAAATCCTTTTGGCGGAAAAATGGTTATGGTGAATGCTTCCCTCTCACAGGCAACAGCATCACTGAAGCTCTCATCTTCATTCGTCCATGGTGAAACTAAATTCTCGCCGTCCTCAACTCTTCTTATGGGGACCCAGCTCGTTTCCCCCAATCCTTCGCCTCTACGCAGTATGTTTATCTCTTTTCCGCCAAGTGTTTGTATATTTGCCTCTATCAGTTCGTATGAATTTATGTGCCTTTTTGTTCAGTTTTGTAGGAAATGGGGTTGGAACTTCCCGTTGTCGTGTATGAATTTGAGAATTTTTCGTTTGGGTGGCAAATTGTGCTATTGTGTCACGTTAGTGTTTCACTATCGTGTTTTCGTGTTATCGATTTACTTTGTTGTTTGGTGTCGTGTGTCGTGTGGTATCCATGGTGTCATATGTCTATATAATTGCGTTTGTGAATCGTGTTGTGTTCGTGTTTTATATATGACAGGAGTTGGCGTGATAAGAATATGATTATTAGTTATTGATTGTTGGATTGTTTAAGGATTTGTAGTCTGCCAAATCTTGATTTTCTTTTCCTTACTGTATTGAATGGGTTTTATGTGATGTATTTGGTATCTATTTCACGTTGTAGCTTGTGAAGTTTCTTATTTATGTTCTTGTGATTTCTTTAAGCTTTGAAACCGACAAGGCCTTTGGTTATTCAAGCAAAGAGGATATCTGGCTTGGCAGAGTCCATCAGAATAAGAAGGTAAACATACTTGTTTAGTTAAAGTCTTGTATTTCCAGTGCTTATAATTAGCAGCTGACCCATGTAGCATCTTAATAGCGTATTGATTCAACATTGTCAGATCAAGATTTGCCTACAAACTAGACCTTGCTTACAATAGTACTAGGAAAATTCTGGACACTTGTAAATATAATTTCAGCTAATTGTTCCATTGTTTAAAAGTATAACTGCATAGTTATTTTGCTTGATTTAACTCATTCGACATATAGAAACTGGCATCTTGTGTACTGAAACAGGCAGCGTGAGCTTCAAACTTTGCCCAAAGCTAAAAGAAGGCCTCCTTTGAGGCGTGGGAAGGTATCAAAAGGACTTCTTGTGCCCGATCACATTCAAAGGCCTCCTTATGTTGGTTCACCATTGTTGCCAGACATTGCAAATGAGCATCAAATTCATGATGCTGAAGGGCTTGCTCGCATGAGGGCTGCTTGTGAGCTTGCTGCTCGGGTGGTTGACTATGCTGGGACTTTAGTTAGGGTGAGAAGTTTAAATGTTTTAAGTAATAAGGACCGAGATATGATATTTTTCTTCATGAGTTGCTGCGAATTTAAAAGCTTAAGCTGATAATGCTGCGAATTTGTGTAGATATTATGAAGACTAGATATTTCTCCATCTCTCTCTCTCTCTCTCTCTCTCTCTCTCTCTCTCTCTAGTCTAGCAATTTTATTAGTCTTTGGGAATAAATAAATGAGGAATCCTAACTGTTAAATGTAATTTTTACTATGACCAGTTCTTTTACAGTGACTAATGCAGTTTCAGTAATTTTGTTCTGCATAGGAGAAAATGTGATTTTCCCTGTTTGTAGAAAAAGGTTTTGCATTCTGTGATGATTATTCTGGGGGCTGGAAAGGCAAGTTGTATGTTGAAATATTCATTAAAGTGCACTTACTTGGTTTTAAACATGTAATCTCAGCCTTCGGTAACGACTAATGAGATTGATAAAGCCGTTCACCAAATGATCATAGATGCTGGTGCTTATCCTTCTCCACTAGGGTATGGGGGCTTTCCAAAGAGTGTATGCACATCGGTTAATGAGTGTATGTGCCATGGAATACCTGATTCGCGCCAATTACAGGTAACATGCGTTTTGTGATTAGAAAACGTTTGTCCTCTCAAAATATCATTCAAGTAATATATATTTATTTGTATGCAGGATGGTGATATAATCAACATTGATGTGACGGTCTACTTGAATGTAAGATGTTGGTTATTACTTTTGTTGCTAAATTTTGATGTACTTGGTGTATATTTTCATTTCACTTATCCTTGACCATGTTTGATTGAAATCAAAATGCATCTTTAAATAAGAAATTGGATTACATTTGTAAAGTTGCTATTTGTTTAGTAAGCTTCTCTTTATTTGTCTATGAAGTAGTTATCACACCATTGATACTAAAACAAGAATCCAATATTAATGGTCATCTTCTGTTGGCATTTTCACATGAGTGCATGCATTATAAGGTTTTGTAGTTCTCAAGGACAAAATCGTATGGTGCACAAAATCTAGTACTCGAATTTCCATATTGGTTTTTATCTCTATATCTAACCCATTGCCGTTGACTCTGTCCTTTTCAGGGTTACCATGGAGACACGTCAAAGACCTTTCTTTGTGGTAATGTAAATGATGGAATGAAACGGCTGGTAAAGGTATCTCTTGCTTTTAGTAGCTCCAGTTGAACTATGTTGCAATAATTGTGGTTACTTTCTTCTGTGGCAATTGTTTAGTACTGTGTTAGTCATTGAGTTTATGTTTTCTTTTTCATTTATGCAGGTGACAGAGGAATGCATGTATAGGGGCATTGCTGCTTGCAAAGATGGTGCCTTGTTCAGGAAAATTGGGAAGAAGATAAGGTACTTGTTAATTGAAACTTGCAGGTCGTATCTTGGAGAATGTTATTGGTGTAATTGCATTTACACAAGAAAGTTAGATAACGTAAATTGTGTCCAAATTCAACCAATCAATACGATTAATCATTTATTATCGTTCTTGTTGCAGTTATGTGTTGCTTAATTTAATTTTTGAAGGTAGACCATACTTAATTTGAATATTAGTTCTGTTTGGGTTTTTGTTGGGGGGCAGTTTTAGCCGGAGATAAATCCAAGTAGCTTCCATTGAGAAATGATGAAAACTGAAAAGTGAGTCTTGGAATGAGTGATGGCTAATGGAGTGAAAGATAGATCCCTCAAAATCTCTCATGCAAGGGTTATATATGAACAAAATGAAGTCTTATTCGAGAAGCCAGAAAAAGTACAATTTTGATCTCGTGAGCCGTGCATAAAGCCGAGTCACTGTCACGGATGAGTATGTCAAGTGGATTGGTGTTGTCTGATGAATTGCTGGGTGCTAAATTCTGTAAAAAGAAAAACAAAATCGCATTTCTTTCATATGAAAAAAAAAGAAATGGAGAAATACTAGAGGTATAACTAAGTAAGTGCACTAGAAGCAAGAAAACGAAAACCTAGAAACCCAAAAAATATAAAACAAAGTCCAGAAAAATTTAGGCGCTGCCGCTTGTTTTGCCCATAAACAAAGATGGTCTGTAAGGTAGCTAAATCTACTACAAGGTGTTCTATACAGCTGTAAGAGAAATGTAAAAGAAAAGGCAAAAATGTGTTAAATGCTGTTTGCAGAATTTAAGATGTTCGATACCACATAACATGTATTCTTACTGAGATTTGACTTCTTAGTATGTAAAGTTACGTTTTTCCTTTTTCTTTTTTGGTTCATTTTCTAGTGAATATGCTGAGACATTTGGGTTCGGCGTGGTGGACCGTTTTGTGGGACATGGCATTGGGACTGTTTTTCATTCTGAACCACTGATATATCACCACCGTGAGCCACTAATCCTTTTCCTATGCATTCATTTTTATTTGTTAGTCTATAGTATTTGTTATTCGCAAAACTCGACAAATAATTTTGATCATTTTTTATCTAATGGTAGGATCATGAGAAAGGTGCCCCTCTCTTTTATTCTCTTTAGTTTCTACAAAGTATCTCCTTTTTTATATGATGCTAATAACTAAATCTTGAATGGATCTAAATTATGTATAGCTTTCTTTAATAACTAGTGTATATCCCGTGCGATGCACGGAAGAGTTCATATTTTAAACATTTTTTAGACTTTATTTTAAATATAATTATTTCTATTTTTCACATCTCTTCTATTATGAAAATAAAATAAATACAATCAATGAAAAATATATAATATTAAATACTTTTCTTTATACAATATTTTCTATTTAAGGAATATTATTAAACCTTACGGTTTTGATTTGTTTTTTTAAATCAATAATCCAAAATATATGATTGTTAACGTACAAAAAATAATGGAAATAATCCAGACTTTAAAGTAAAGCTATTTTTTATTATTTGACAAATAAAAATATTCCAAATTTTTTTTTTTAATTTCATAAAAAAATTTGGCAAGTTTGATAATGAGTTAAATCAAGTTATACAATGATTAAATAGTTAAAATGTTATATTAATTATATTTTAAGAAATCCGATTATATAAAAATGGGTAAAAAAATATTATAGTAATTAGTTTGTTAGGATTGTGATTATATGGAAGTTAAAATAAAATGAAATGTAACCAAAAAATTTGTTCGTGGTTTTTTTCCTAAATGTTTGAATTTAAAAATCTAGTAACCAAATTTACATTATATCACGTAAGGAAAAAAATAAATAATAAATATTTATTAAAGAGATAAATCAATAATATTTATCACTTAGATAATAAATAATAAATATTTACATGTAACAAAATAAATAATAATATATTTAAACATATAAGTCAGAATTTCAAATAAAGTAAAAGGAGGGATAACTCATTTTTTAAAAAAAGTTTCTAAATATTTAATATATTGATAAGTATCTCCATAAGAATAATCATACCATTTTAATTTTAAAAAAATTGGCAAGTTTGTTAGAGAGATAAATCCGGTTAGACAAATGATTAATTTGTTAAGATATTATATTAATTGTATCATAAAAAATCGGTTAGATAATGTAGATAAAAAAATATAATACTAATTAGTTTGTTAGAAATGTGATAATGAAAACCAAGATAAAATGAAATTTACCCAAAAAAATTGTTTGGAATCTTTTCCTTTAAATGTTTGAATTTACAAATTTAATACCGAAATTCTATTATATCACATAAGAAAAAAATAAATAATAAACGTTTATTAATATATTAAAATATGTAATTTTGAATTTCATATAAAATAAAAGGTATGCTTATTCAAATTTATTTTTAAAATAAAAGCTATGATAAACATTTATTGATTCTCTTTCAAATATATTAATAAAATAAAAATATAAATCTAAACAAATTTTGAAACAACCAAAAAAATCGGATTGATTGGCATAAAAAAAGGAAGTGAAATCGGATTTGAATGCTAAAATCGGAACACCTTACCAAATTGAATGCTAAAAGATTCGATTTGATTGGTTACCTAATTGCATGGGCTGAAAAAATTCAAAAAAAATTTTACGAATTGAAGAAGCGGGAAAAACCCTATATTGAAGCGGGAAAACGAAATGATTATTTTCGGATTGTTCAAATAATTTTTCTTCTCCGTATTATATAGTAATAGATAAACATTCTTTCTCTAAATTTTTGGGTTCCTCTTGGAAAATCAGAAATCAAGACTCTTACAGTTCATTTATTTAGTTCTTTAAATGTTTTAAGACACGTTTTTTAATCACCATTTTAGTGTCATATAGTGGCTTGAAGGTGTAATAGAGGTTTGACCCATCACAACCTCTATGAGTTGTTTGAATTAGCCTAAATTTTGGAAAAGCTTAATTTAGGAGGGAAATTTTTGAAATAGGGGATTGTAAAATCAGTTACTTTTACATGTCAAATAGGTATCCTCTATTACTTACTTACCAACCGATGCAATCAATTAGATATCCATCATCCGCTAAATGTCAAACAAAATCTTTATGTGTGTGTGTGTGTGTGTTTTTTTTTTTTTATTTATTTTTTTTTTCTCAAAGGCTTTATTATTTGTTAATTCAACTTTGATTTCTTTCATAGGCAACGACAAGTCTGGACACATGGTTGAAGGACAAACGTTCACGATTGGTGAGTGTTGCATTTTCTTAGAGATGCATATTTTGTTCTTTCTTTTTTTTCCCCCCTACTTAATGAATTGATACAAATATTATCTAGATGGTAGTAAGATTGACATTTTTCATTTATATATGTACTTTCTAGAAAATTTAAAATGTTGCATAATCTGCTTGACGTGATATACTTCACCATTATTACAGAACCTATTCTCACGCTTGGGACCACGGATTGTATAACTTGGGAAGACAACTGGACGACCCTAACTGCCGATGGCAGCCCAGCTGCACAGTTCGAGCATACGATTCTCATTACAAGAACAGGTGCCGAGATTTTGACCAAATATTGATTTAGAGTTCAATTTGAAATATGTATAATCGAGTTAGCCTCAATTTGTTCACCTGAGGTTTTGCCTAGTCTTCAAGAATGGGGTGTATAGGTAATGGTAATTACAAATGGTGAGGGGATATTTGTAATTTCAAATGTTAAGTGGGCTATCTTTGTGTAATTAGACTAAACTTCAGGAGTTCTTGTTATATTGTTTGTATAATTTGACTTTGTGCTAGCTAATTCCAATAGCATATTGGCCTTGTTTGGCAATCAGCGGATATCGGATTATATTAGCTGATTTGACCAGCGAATTGCATTAGCGGTTTTTAAATAAGTGTTTGGTAAATAGCTGAAAGTTTATAGCTGTTTGACATTGCAAAATGACTAATAAAGACATTTTATTATTTAGGGTGTATTCTTTTAATAATAATATATTAAAATATTTAATATTCTTTAGTTGGTAATTTATAAAGATATATATTTTTTTTTAAAATTTAATAACACTTGATGAAGAAGTTATGAATTTTATATTTTTCTAGATAAATTAATCATATAAATGACATATATTTATTAGCTCCATAAACCAATGTAGATTGTAAAATAAATAAGACAAATTAAAAAGTTCCAAGTAAACCTCTCAATTGTGAATCCTCTATTCCAAAAAGTTGCTCTAATGAGCTTTTTCTAAATTAGAGTTTTGAGCCCAAAAAGCTTATCAAATAAGTTATTTACCAAACAAGCTGAATAGCGGATTTGACGGGTCAAACCTCTCAATTAAATTCAATCCGCTAATTTATTTTCAATCCGCTATCTACCAAACGGGGCCATTGTTTTCTTTCTCCATAGAGGTTGTGTTTCATGATTATAAAATTTTGTGTGAGATGGTCTAATTGTGAGGTGGGTTAGCCTCGGTTTATCATACTTTTTAATAAAAGTACATATTTATATTATGAAATGTTGTGCTTTTGTTATATTGTTTGCGTAATATGTTCCGTTTGAAAGTATTGCATAGTTGATGAAAGACAAGATTGTTTTAAGGTTTGTCTAATAGTAATCTTATTGATACATGGTTGATGAGAACGGCATAGTTTTTTACCATATGATCAAGATATCATTTATTTTTACTTTATAATAATGTTGTCAAACAAATTTTACTTTTATACTACATATCATAAGAATATTGTTTTCATTAAAAAACAAAAAAAACAAAAAACCCGCAAAATGAAGTTTGTAAAATTGATTCTCACCAATCACTTGTTTTCCACCTTTTTGTCTCCATATCAATTCACCTTTTGTTTCTTCAATAAATACAGAATTCCTAAGAAAAAGAATATCCATTTCCAGCACATCAATTGCTATTTTTCGACTCATTCAAAAGGAATCTTACCTCACGCTCATGATTGTATGATACTCGTGCTAATAGTTGCCTAAAATCCAAAAAATAACAAAAGCCAAGGAAAAAGAAATGGAGAAAACAATTATGTAAAATTACTTACTGGTGGGCTCCCCTGAAACGGATCCCGGCCCACAAAGATATTCCTAAAATTCGAGTCCAGAAACGAATATTCAGCGAGAACAACCATACGTCGAAGAGGGACCCACATATTCGCGTGTCATACACGCGAGAGTAGAGAGATTGGGGTAAGCATTATTCTTTGTGGATGCCCTTTAGAGCACCCGAAAGGCCAATGCAAATCTGATCCGCGCATCCTACTAAAAAACGACGGATTTAATTTGTGCTGGTGGGAGTGGGCCCCGCGGTCCGCGTCTGTGCTCACGCTCCGGGAGTAGATTCCCATGATTCTTCTTACCTATCATGTGTGGGTATTTCCATTTCTGAATTGCTAAATACCGCACCCGTTTTACTACGTACCGCACCCGTAAAATACAAAATTATCCTTTTATTAAAAAAAAAA